GGAGCCAAGAAGTCTAAGCAGACCTCGACTGGAAACCCAGTTTTATGGATTCTTTGCTGTGTGATGTTAAGCAGATCAGTTGGTTTCACGTACTTCAGTTTCCATGATTGTGAGGGTGAGGTTCTGTTACCTGAATAGTGGATTGTAGGGAGATGTAGTACAGATACTTGTGGTGGAACACAACTGGTAAAATAGATGCTCAGTAAACATCATATAACTCTGAGTCTAAACAAATTCCTCCTCTTTTACTGTTCCCCACATGGGTGACGCTCCATGGAGGTTAAACAAAAATATCCTTCTTTCAATAAGCAAGCCTGAAAAGTTTACAGCAGGGCATGGTATACTTCAGAGCTCTGTTTCTATGTGAGAAACTATCACGGTAGACAGAGGGTGCTATCAAATACATTTGAGGATGGTGCATCACTGTCAACCGAGCCGACACACTGCAGGAGTTTTCAGGGCCTTTGCTTTGTGGTTTGCTTTGCTCATGGATAGGATTTCTCAACACATCTGGTCACATAACTCTTTCGGGTGTGCTGAATATCTCACAGTGTTGGAGATGTTCCAGGGACAGTTGCTGATGTCCTGGAAAGGCCCTGTAGTTATGTCTGCAATCTACTCCTGCGTGATCTTTGATTTTCCCACCCCATAGGAGCTCATGTCCTCATTTATAAACTGAGAGGGAATAGAATCCCCAATGGTCCTCAGTTCTGAGGTGCAGGGACCTTGAAGTTCTTCTCCACTATGAGTTCCCTGCTTGTAACCTTGGCACACCGGTTTTGGCCAAGGATCTTCCTAGGGACAGGGCAGAGGGTTCCAAGAGGGCGCTTGCCTGTAAGTGACTCCATTGATGGTCTTCTGCCTGCCCCTTATAACGTAGGCAAAACTGAGGGGCAGGTTCCATTTGCTTTCTGCCTCCAGAGGAGACCGAAGGGCTGCTGTCTTCTCCTGCCTCCTCCTCCACCAGGGACAGACAGCCACTGGAGGATTAAGACCAGGCCTAGTACCCATTCAAGCCATTCAGCAAGACAGGAAGCCAAGCCTCCTGCCCACCTGCTCTGCAGGACAGGCCTGTGGGATTACCTGTTGCATTGTTGGAGACTTTCACAAAGGGAGGCCCAGCCCATCAGGAAAGGCTGAGTCCCTAGAGTCCACCACCCAGTGTCCTAGGAGGCCTTTCCAACTGTAGAGCTAATCCTGCCTGGCTGCCCAACTGAAGCCAAGCCATCAAAGGGCAGCCACCATGGTCCCCAGCACTGCCCTTCAACTGCTCACAGTTGGGGCAGTGGGATCCCAGGGCAGGATGTGTGCCATCCCTTCCAGCACCTCCCAATGACAGTCATTGTCACACACACAGACACTGCCTCTGGTTTGGAGGGCTAATCTAAGACAGTGCTGCCCTTGTGAGGTGCCAAAGGCTGATGGGCCAGATCCACAGGACGCTGGGACTCCATAGCAGTTCTGTTGTGCCGGGCCTCTTAAAGAAGTGGGCTTGCACTTTCTGGAATTTTCTCCGGAGTGTGATAGTGGGTGGAGAACTTTCCTCATTTCTCATCTCAGCCGTGTCTGTGCACCCCACACAGGACTGTTCTCCGCTGGATTCCTCACCTTTATGGCTTGTGGTTCTCAAGAATAATGGTAGAATGTTCTAGGAATGCAATATCTTGTAGGTAGGGACAGGCCAGAAGATCTGGCCTCTTTTCTGCTTCCTCTTTTAGAGACCAACTGCCCAAACTGCAACCAAAACCCCACTTATTTATCACAAAGTGCCAACACTGCAATTAACCTGAATGCTGAAGTTTTCGTTTAGAAAAAACCACTCAGATACTTGCCTCGTGTGTTGACAGAGAGGGCTCTGCATGCCCACTGCAGCTCACGTGCCAGAGATTCGCCACCCTGCTCTAGATCAAGATGCCCTGCACTCTTTTTCCCAGTGACTCATGTGACCCCAGGGTATAAAACCCAGGCCTATAGGTTTTTCAGGGTCTCTCAGCTGCAGTGTAAGGGGGATACACACAGGACTCCCTCCTTGGGCAACTTTCCTTGGGGACCTGGCTGGAGTGACTCCTGGGCTTCTGTTTTGCCTTTTTGCCTATCTCTAAGTTCTAAATTCACTTTGTGAGGCTTACATAGGAGCGTTCAGTCTCAGTAGACTAAGACAAGCTGGTAGCCAGCGGACCCACTCAACAATCTGTACTCCTATTGATTTAATGTTTTTCTTTATGTCAACTAATTTTTTTAGGCAACTTAGTCTTTTGATAACCAATGTATGTAAAATCATGAGTTTTATGTTCCTGTAGTGCAAAATACAATAAAACCAATTTTCTAGTCATAAAAGATAGATTTGTCACAGTATACCCGTGTCACCTAAAGTCAGTTTGGGAATCACCAGCAAGTAGAGAGATAAGGTTGGGTAGTCTCTAAGCTCCCTTCAGATCTTGGGAGCTAAGTTTATAATACTGTATTGAGAATCCACAATGCTACTGATACCTAAGATAGACTTTCAAGGGTCATCTTGAACTCCTTCCTCACAGCCTGATGTGGTCCTCAGGAAGTCCTGCCTCCTGAGCGCCTCTCTTTCCTGTCCCTCAGCTCCCATCTCAGTGGCCCCTGACTTGCTCAAGACTTTCATTCCCATCCCCTGAGCCCCTGCAGGGACCTCCTTGCTGATCTATTTGCCCACCCTGAAACCAGGGTAACCTTTTTGCCATGCATACCTCAAGTGCCTGGAACATAGTGAAAGTCCCATTAATGACAGCTTTGATCATGATGATGATAGCCCTGATATTTTAAAAGATGTAAATCTAATCATGTTCTTCACTGCTTAAAAGGTTTCCCTGGTTTCCCCCATAGACCTCAGGACAGGATGAAAATCCGTAATCTGATATGGAAGCTCTTTCTGATCGAGCCCCTATTCACTCGTTAAGCTGCACTTTCTGCGCTTCCCAACTCTCCCCCTTGTTCCCGTGAAGCCAAAGCACAGGACCCTCCAAACGCCCCACACTGCTTCCTGCCTGCTTCGGTCTCTTCCACCAGGGACACCCCTGCCACTCCCTAACCACCTCCTCTTCCTTAAGTATCTTACAAACTCAGGACCTTACTAAAGTTCTTCTTCCTCTCTGTATTTGCTGCATGACAAATCACCCCCAAAGCATAGTGGTTTAGGACAAGAAACTCTCATGATTCTGTGGAATCACAGAACATGGGGTGGTTTTCACACCTGTGTGGCTTCAGCTCTGACACTGGGGAAAGCTGGAGTGGCATGATCAACTGCCTCAGGGGACTAGCTTGGACTTCGTTACGTGGCAAACTCAGATCTTCTGTGGCCCCAGTATACAAGCACCTATCCAACCTCTGCTTATACCACAGTGGGAAGTGTCTGCTGGTCAAAGTCAGTCACAGGACCACGCCCAGCTTTAAGGGGAGATGATGAGAAAAGCATCATATGCCAAGGGGATGCATGTTAAGATACAAGGTGTTATGGTTACCTTGTAAAGTATCACAGTATCTGAAGTTTGATGCGACAGAAAAACTTGCTTTCCTAATATTTATTTCTCCTGCCTCCTTTTGAAAACCTCTTCTTTCTGCTTAAACGCCCTTCCTCAGCACACAGAGATGAGTAAACTTCAGCACACAGAGTAAACTGAATCATAGTATCACAGCTTCTGGACCTTTGTGATGGGCTCAACGATCAGACATGTGACTCAGGATAGCCCAACCAGAGTTCTCCCCTGGAATGTTATAAATGAGAGTTGAGAGTAAACAATCCTTTCTTCTTAGATGTCAAAATGAGGAAGATAAGCCCAGAACTGAGAGCAATCATGATGCCACTAAATCTATACTCTCCGTCTGCTGTCCATTCCATACCTGGTTTACATGAACTAACTAATTCCCCATTTGTACAAGAGAGGGAAAAAAAAGTGCTCTAAATGATATAACTGCATGTATATTTAAGTGTATAAGATAGAAAATGATATCACTGAATTTTATTGGATCATTGAACAGAACTGTTTGCAGTATCATTGTTGGAATGTCCACTTTACAAGCTTTAATTTTGTGACTTGAACAATTATTTCTAAGATGACAATATGTAATCCATTAACTAGTGATTTCCTACTGTTTATTTTTTCTGTAAATCTTTATAACTTGTACCCTTTCTCTGCTTTTTTTTTCCTCCTTAAATAAAATTAAAAAAAAATTCTCCATTTGCCTAAGGTGGTTGGAAGTTCTATCATTTGTTACCAAAAGTGTCCTGTCTAACTCCCCTTCTTTGTTCTCAGGCAGAAGTGGGTGTGCCTCATTTGTCCTACCACCGTACTCATGGTTCACCTAGTAATCAACTGTTGGCTACCTGACACTGGTCAAGATGTGGAAGAGTGTCCTACAGTGACCTGCAACGGCCAGGAAGGACAGTCAACAGTGAGAATGAGAGACATAACTTTATCCTGTTCCTCCTCAAAGAAGCATTCCTTTTCAACTTGGGCTCCAACAACAACAAAAGAATTGTTCTTAAAACCAAAGAAAACAGATGTAACTCTTCTCCATTATCACATCACTGGGGGAAGCAGATTCAGAGCAGGTCACTCTTCCTCGAGAAGGAAGCCATCCCCAGATGGACATGAGAAGAGAAAGTAGGTCCTGAAGCTGGAACAGAGGGGGAAGATCTCCCTCGGAATAAATTGACGAGGCTGGCAACTGCAATTCCTGTTTGATAATATGCTTTATTCCTTTTAATGGTCCCATTCACCTTATTTTTAACTGAGAAACTGCATGCATACGGTGGTCCTGATCCCAGTTTTGATGCATGCACATGCGTTCCATTGTATCTGGCTTCTCTCGCTCAGCATAATGTTCCTGGGTGTAATTCACTCTGCTGTGTATATATACAGTTTATTCTTTTTTACTGTTGGGACGTGTTTCATGGTGTGAATATACCACAGTTTGCTTATGGACATTGAGCTGTTTCCATTTCTGAGATTTATGAATAATGCTACTCTGAATGCTCTTTTTTAAAATTTTATTTTGAAAATAGTAAAGTACAACAGAACAAGACAGAAAAAAGCCAACTGAGACCGTGTAGTGAAATTGGTACAGAACTTCACAGCAGGTTACCGGGATAACAGTAATAGGCATCACAGTATATTTCGTTATCTTTACAACACTTGTTCTTTCAATCACGTATATCAAAATAAAATGAAATACAGAACATTATAGAACTTATCAAAACAGAATATTGAATAGAGCAGTACCATTAAGCAGAATAGAGCAAAACAGTAATAAAAATATTTGCCTTCAAAGAGATCGTAGAAGGAAGTCCCCCTTATGTGCTACAGTCAACCTCCCAGGAGATGCTCAAATTTCTGGTTCCCATTTGCTAAGGGGGGGGGGACAGGAGAAAAGGGGTAGGGAAAGGGAGATGTTTGACTCTAGGCCGTGCACCAGTAGGTTCACTATCGCTTAGCAGGGAGGCAGGCTGGTTGCTTGGATTCCCCACATCCTAAGTTCCAGCATGGTGTGGGTCTCAGAAGACACTGGTGGTTCTCCTCCTGGAAGGGCCACAGTTGGCCACACCGCCACCGCTTACCAGGGAGGCAAGCTGCTTGCTTGGTTTCCCAGGGTCCTAAGTTCCAACATGGCGTGGATCTCAGCAGTCTCTACTCTGAATACTCTTGTACTTGGCTTTGGTGTACACTCAGGAAGGAAACTGCCGGATGATAGGATAAATGTATATTTAGCTCCAATAGGTAAAGAATGAGGGACTTGTCTTCATAGAGTCTCCCCAAGTATTCAGTCCAGACCTCCCCTTTTCCTCCAACAAGTTTGATGCCACCTGAACTTATTCTCTCTTCTGGTGGCACTAGATGGACCCTTTCTACATAACCTTGGTTTCTATTCAGTTTGTGCTGTGCTTTACATCAGCAGAGCCACTCTCTGTCACAAACAGTGTGTTAGGTTTTATTTCCTCTTCCATTCTCCACTAAACTTAATCCCCCTTAGGGTAGTGCCCTGTCATCCCTGTAATCCCCCTGCTTTCCCCATAATAGATCATTGACCTATTGCTAAGGAATGAGAGCTAATGTATTCGTTATCTGCTGCTGTGTGACAAACATCCCAAAGTTCAGTGGCCACTTTGCAGTTTCTGTGAATCAGCTGATCTGGCTCAAGGTCTTTCCTGAGACTGTAGCTGGGGTAGTAGCCAGACTGCAGGCATCAGAATGTTGGACGGAGGCTGGAAGGATGTCTTTCAAATTGTCTCGCACTAACTTTTGGTTAGTGCCTTGCCACACACTGCATATAAAATGAATGTTGGCTTTCATGGGGCAAGGAGACAGAGGGAGGTATGGGAGGAGCCACAGTATCTCCTAGTTTTGAAAGTCATCTGTGGCCACTTCTGCAAAGTTCATTCATTAGAAGTGAGTTACCAGGTCTAGCCAGCACTGAAGAGAAGAGGAGTTAGGCCCTACCTCTCAAAGGGAAGAATCTTAAAAAATTGGTGGCACATTTTAAAGCCATTACTAACAAGAGTCAACATTTACTGACAGCATATTATGTGCTATAATTTGTGTTTTTATAGAGTATTTTGTTTAATTTTTACTGCAATCCTACAAATAGAAACACCTCTTGATTTTGGGGACAAGAAGATAGATTCTGAGAGACTGTAGTAGGGATTATTTGCCTGAGGTCCCACAGCAAACCATGGAGTGGAGATGGAAGTCCAGGAGTCACACTTAAAACCTGTGCTCTTGGCCACATAAGCAGCATCACAAATTACAGCTGGTAGATGAGTTCATGAGTCTAGGGCTCTCTGAGGACATCATGGGCTGAATGGTGGCCCCTCCAGAATGTCCACAACCTTATTCCTGTAATCTGTCAACATGATATGTCAAAATCTGTGTTGAAGTTAAAGATCTTGAGAGAAGGTATTTATGCTGTATTATTTTAGAAGATCTGGTACTATAGATGGGGTTCTTGGACCTGGTGCTAATAGAAATTAAAAACTAGGCCAAGAAGTGTAGAACACAGGCAAAGATTGTAGTTGAGACAGAAAAGAAAATGGGGAAGACACTTCAGCTTGGACGAAAGAAGACTTGAAAGGAACTGACAGGCTCCGGCTGGCCTGTTAAGCGGGAAAGAGGAGCTTTCATGGGCTTGCCGTGGGGACTGGGTCGTGTTGATCACCAGCTCAGTTCTGGTTCCATGAGGTGGTTTTAAAGAAAGCCTTAATATATGAGAGGGCCATGAGATGACTGCTTCTCCTTGAGGGTGCAGGGGTGCTTTAGTTCCTGCCATGGGGTAACTGCTCCCACTTCATGGTAAGAGACCTCATGAAGGTGTGATCTACCAACAGCAGTCCTGTTGGAATCCAAGACTGGATTCTGCAGATTTAAGAAGAACTATGGAATTCTAGGCAAGGTTTCAGGAGGTGTGGAACAGGATGTTATAAAAACTGGTGGTTGAATATTCCCAAAAGTCTTGAAAATACATTGGTTACTCTTATTTGGTATATTTGGTTTGGAAGGGAAATAAACAGATTAGGTAAATTTAGGGCTAAGAAGCAAGTTTTTAGACAGATATTCCTTAAGTAATTAATATGCCTACATCCAGCACTGAGCATAAGTAGTCCCAAAGTCTAAGGTAGTGAAGAACAGAGCTGTGTGTGGTGGTGCACACCTATAATCCCAGTACTTGGGAGGCTGAGACAGGAGGATCGCTGTGTTCGAGGCCAGCCTGGGCTACAAAGTGAGCTCAAGGCTGGCCTGAACTGCACAGTAAAACCCTGTTTTTTTAAAAAAAAAAAAGACAGAAATACCCCTCAACTTCGCTCACCAAACCAAAAGAAAACATATAGTCAGAAGTGGTAGCACCTGCCTGTAATCTAGCACTAGGAGCCTGAGGCAGGAGGTTGAAGTTGAAGAGGCTGAGACAGGAGGATTACTGCAAGTTCAAGGCCTGCTTTGGCCTCATAGTGAGCTCAGAGCCCATCTGAACTACATAGCAAGATGCTGTCTCAAAACTAAAATAAAATTTAAAAAATAAACATAAAGCAAACAGATACAAAATGAAGATAGAGATCTCAAGATTTGTTCAGCTTTAGTAACCCTTTGGGTATCTGCTGGCCTGTTCATTACTTTCTAGTTGCTGGAACAAAATACCAGATACCCATCCATTAAAGGAGGAAAGGTTTACTTTACCTTACAATTTGCAGAGGTTTCAGTCCATAGTTATCTGTGTCCAAGACAGGGTGGCCTGGCAAAGGAGAAACAGCCCCAGGCAGGGCAGGCAGAAAGGTGGCAGGCAGCAGCCTCCCTTCCCTTTTATTCCATGCAGGCTAGAGCCTATTGGCTGGTACCACCCACCCCCCGGTGGGAGGGGCTTCCCATTATCCACACCCAGAGCTGTGCTAAACCAATCAGTGGGCTACTTTAGTTATCACACTCCCTTAATCCATGTTCACACACCCTATGTCAACCACCTCTGAAAACTCTATTAGCCTCATCTATGAGTGTATGAGAATTTAGGGGGACATCTGGATGCAAACTGTAAGAAGGCCCAAGCGAAAAGTCGATGTCTTTTTAGCAAAATCAGCCTTTAAATCCCTATTTCAAGGGCTGGGTGTTTAGCTCAGCCGCACAGTGCCTGCCTGGCAAGTGTGAGGTCCTGAGTTCAATCCCTGGTACTGGAAAAAAAATCCATATTTCAGGCTCACCAGGTAATCACAGGAATCTTTTACAGAAACAGCAGGGGAGGTTTTGATGCAAAAGAAGAAAAAAAATAGGAGGGAAGGGGATGTGAAGACAGGCAGATATCGGAGTGAGGCAGGCATAAGCAAAGGAATGCTGGCGGCCACCAGGGTCCGGAAGAAGCAAGAAATGGATTCTGTCCTGAAGCTTCTAGACGAAGTGTGGCCCTGCCAATGCCTCAGTTTGGGACTTGTGGCCTCCAGAACCATAAGAATAAATTTCCATAGTTGTAAGCTACTATATAAATGATGATTTAACCCACAGGAAATTAATACCAAATGTAAAGTGCATTCCACATCTTCATCAGGAATGCTCTTGGGGGCACAGTGGACTGTGTCAGGCCCGTTCCCACAGTCCTTTCCCTTGGGTCAGCTTGGCCATTAGTGCATTCTAATAAAGTGGAGAAATTAAAGTCAGGTAAAAAGCAGAAGAAAAAGACATAATAACCACCTCTGTTATTATCATTGAGCTTATGTTTTATTCTGAGCTTCCTAGCAGCTGAGGCAAAAAGACAGTAAGGGTGGGTTACGTAATTTTCACTTTCTTGCTAAAAAGAAACTAATGATGTTTTTCAAGAGACACTTTTCTTACATATTTCGAGAATACCTGAGCAAGTACTTCACACAATAGACCCTGGACAGGGTAAGAGACAAAGTTCTCAGTGATAACTTAGAGGAGATCTGGGGCTGCCCTCGTGTGAGGGTTTCATGGGTCACATCTGATAAAATAGCCCAGCAGAGAAACACACTGCAGAGACCTGACTGATTCTCAGGAAGAAGCCCTCACATGGACACGGCTGCAGTGTTCACACCCAACATTTTGTGTGTTCAAAGAACTCCTGGGAGCCACATGAGGCAAGCAGGTAGCCCACATTTTACAGCTGAAGTAAGAAGGCTCACAGCACCGAAGAGACTGTCTCAAGGTCACACATCGATGGGTGTCAGGGCTGGGGTTCTGCCCAGCTTTAAGAACGGGTCTCCCTGGCTTGCTGATCCATCTTAATCCACACACCTCTTATCACTCTCCAAGAATTTCACACACACCCGTTTTATCTCGCCAAGTCCTGAGCCCTTGTGGGAAGGGCCCTTTCTCACGCTTTTTGGAAGCCTGGATTCCCTGCCCAGGACTGGTGGTGAGAGGGGTCCTGCCTACCTCATGCTTGCCTGCTGAGGCACCATATGCCAAGCCCTGGTCCTTTAGGTCAGGTTCCAAGCCCTTGAAGAATGGTCACCTAAAGGAGGGTGGTGGCTGGGGCTCAGATCCATCATTGCGCAGGAAGACCCAGGAAGTGTGGGCAGTGGCCAGCCAGGCGAGGGCGTGGCCAGGGTGCTGTCCGCCCCGCAGTGCTGACCGGTCTCCTCTTCCTGGGAAAAGACGACCTTTCAGGGAAGTGGGTCGGTTCTTTCATCTCTGTCACCCTTCCTGGCCAGAGGCTAAGAGGGTGGTGAACTGCCTCTCTGCAGGGGCGGGGAGGAGAGGGAAGGTCAGAGTGCTTCTGCCCTCACTTTCCCCACACTATGCCCAGGGAAGGGGCTCTTATCCCCTAATTCCTCCATTTCCTCTTTTGTCACAACCCTTCCAACCTCTCTTCCTCTCCTCCAGAGGCACTTGCTTCCCATCTCTGTATGTTCTTCCTCCCCTCTCTGTAACTTCCCATTTCCCGCTTCCCTCTTTATCCACTAGTTATGCAACTACTTGCAGGTTTCTTAGCCTCTCTGAGCGAAAGCTCTACCCTCACAGCAGTTATGAAGCTCAGCGGTTGGTATAGAGAACATGCTGAATCCAAGCACATTCTGCTCACCCATTCTTTTCTCTCCAAGATGGAAAGGAGGACAAGCAGGCACGTGACATTAGCTCCCTTCATCTCCACGGGGACAGCCCACCATGCCAACTGCCCACCATCACTGGAAAAACCTAGGGGGCTTATAAGCCTCCCCCCAAAGAGATAGCCCCTGGCCCAGAGCATCCAGGTGCATCCATCAGGTGACAAATGGTAGCTGGTGAAACTCTCTAATGCATGGATCATGACTCACCGTGCATTTGCCATGTGGCATGCGTGGATGACCACTTTCACATATGGCCATCATGAGAGCCCTCTGAATCGGGTACTATTATTGTGGATTCATTTAAAATGTGAGCAAAGGGGTTCGGAGAGATGGAAGTTCACATGACATAAACTGGAGCCGACAGGCCAGTCTGACTCTTCAGACCACGTTGTTTGAATTAACTTTTTCCTATGGGAAGATGTAAACATAAAGAGGAAACAAAATCACGTAATGATTGCACCCATCACTCAGCTTCACCGGTCAGCATTTGGCCAACTTGTCTCGCCCCTGCCTACACCCATTTCATGCTTCCCTCATTTTGACCCAGGCATCACATAGTTTGCCCATAAATGTTTCAGTGTGCCCCGTTACAAATGTTTGGGTGTTTGTTTAATTTTGGAGATACTGTGAGTAGAATTGTTTCCTGATTTCTTTCTCAGAGAGTTCATTAGTAGTGCCCAAATAATCTGGTGTTTTTTTTTGTTTGTCCTGTATCATGCTATTTGTTGAATTTGTTTGACAGCATCTGACAGTCCTTTGGTGGAGTCTTTAGGGTCTTCTCAGTATATGATCAGATCCCTGCCACCTCTTTAAATAAAGATAATGATACTTTGTTATTGCAAAACCCTTCCACACATATTCTCCTATTTAATGCTCATATGCTCTCAAAGGTACACAGGGAAGCATATTTGCTGGAAAACTGAGGCTCAGAGAGGTGAATGGGCTCATCCTAGGTTACCCAATGATATAAGTTATAGGTGGAGCCAGGCCCTGGCTCTGCCCCTTGGCCGCAAGTCCCAGACTTGCTTCTCTCCTCTCTGGGCCTCCTGACAGGAGATACCAGTTGCCAAGCTCAGGGGTTCCAGGGGCCTGGAGGAACAGGGGTTCCAGGAGTCCTGGAGGAACAGGGGTTTTGAGAGACTGTCTCCAATGGTAACCAACTGCAAAGTATTCATAACCCCTTTCTCTTGGTAACAGCAGAGCCAATTCCCTGGCAAAGGCCTGTTTGCATGCTGTAGCTCCCCCAAAGCCTAGACAGCGGCCGGGGCTCACCGCCAGCCTCCTGAGCCGCATGCCCTAAGCCCTTTGCACTATGGCAGATTGAAGGACGAGGCATGAAGTGCAGGCATAATAGCCAGATCACTCCAGCAGCCCTGCTCTAATTCTGCTTTTTACCTAAGTGCAGGAGAAGGGCAAAGGTCTCCCTGTTTTTCTTCTGGGAACCTCCTTGCCTAGCCAATCCTGCACATGCAGGGAATGCCAAGGATTCCATTCTAAATCCCCTGGCTTTTATGGCTTTCATGGCTAATTCTTCCATTAGTCTGCAGGCTACAGAGGACACCCCTCTGCATGGTGTTCAGGACCAGCAGTCTTCCCAGCACCACCAATGTAATCTACCACAAGTACCAAGGAGACCATCCTACAACTGCAGGAGAGGAAAAACCTTTGTGCTAGCTAATTCCTGGATTCTCTAGTTAGAGCTTTGCTTCTTTAGCTGTACACTATGTTCTGTTTAAATGCAAACATCGCTACCACCAACACTGCCCATTAAGCTTTCTTCCACACCCTAATCCAACGTCCTAATAATACCACTCGCTACTTCTTTGCCCATATAAACGGTGGTATTTCACTTCTCCATGCTTTGTTCATGCTGTTTCCTCTGCCCAAAAAACCCACTTCCTGCTTCTTCCTCCACTATCTCCTAAGAGTATCTCAGGACTCAGCTAAGACCTCATCTCCTCCAGGGAACCTTTCTGAATGCCCTTCCGCTCTGTTGTTCCCATCCCCATAACAGGCAAGGGCTTTTCCATGGGCTTAGCTCAATGTGCTATACTTAGAAGACCAGAGTCTCTCGAAGGCAGTCTTCCCCAGGACTACACGGAGGCCTGACACATCATAAGGTCTCAACCTACTGTATTTATTGAAACTCTTTGTCTCCCACAGCCCTCACTGCAGCCCTATAGGTTAGGCTGCTCAGTTCCATGATTCCTCCCATTTTATAGATGTGGAGACTGACATGGAGAAGCAAGGAACCCATCCCAGGCCCAACAGTGCTAAGTGGAGAGTTAAACTCTCACCCACGTCTCTTTTCGCCCAGCCCTGGAAGCTGTTCCTGCTGTCACCCTCTAGGCCAGCCCTGGATGCCCAGCTGGCGGCTCTGTGACAAGGCAGAGCAGGAAGCACCCTGTCAAGACACTTTCAATCCAGCAGCTAAGTTCGGGAACCCCTAACCCCAGTCCTGGTTGCCCCTAGGGGAAGCCTAAATCCTGCATCCTGGTTCCAGGGCCACTCCAGCCTCCCCAGGCCCACCTCTCTAACCTTGTCCTTTAGCTCCACCTTATATGCTCCTGCTGAGCCACACCTGCTCCCTGCCCCTTCTTGGGATCATCTGAGTGTTCAGAACCTGTACTTGGTGCCCAAACTCTGTTACCATCATGTTCCAAGATTCCAAGATTAGAGCCACTAGAAAAGGTGGGGCAGATATCCACAGGAGTCTCCCAGTGTCCAGAGAGCAAAGCAGCGAAGTGCTCCGAACAAGCAAAGGGGTCCCCGCTGCATTCATGGAATACTACAATCCTGAGAGGTGCAGACGGCAATTCCACCACAAAACCCCACCGCAGACAGCATGTTAATCACATCTGACGTGTACCAAGGCACTGTGCAGTGTCTTCCACTCAGCGCTGAACTTCGTTCCCGTGGTAACACCCACAGGCAGGTTCCATTTTTCCCTCTGAACTGCAAAGAGGACATCTGCAGCTCAATTAGTAAATGAACTTGGCTCTGACACACACCTAGAAAGTAACAGAACCAGGATCCAAAGCCCAATCTGTTCTCTTCACAACACTTTCCTCAAGGAAATGCAAGAGGCAATTAGCACGGTAAACATCCTGAGGATTCCTGAATAAATTTAATTGCTTAAATGTTGTCTGAGGCTGAAACAGCTCCTTCCCCATAATTACTATTATTTTTCCTGAATCCTGCTTCTGTCCCACAGAATGCTGCACTGGAAAACACCAGCTCTTCTCATCCCAGCAACCTGAGAACTCAGGATGGGGAAGAAGGAAGCCTACAGACCTCTGTGCAGGGCTCCTCTGACGTACATGCGAGCTTCCGGGTCCAGGATAGGGACCTGCACTCTCCACAGGTTACAGAGCCAAGGAAAGTAGGAAGCCAGTGCCTGACTTCTTCCCGGGGCCAGGAAACCTCCGGATTCAGACAGGCAGTGGGGCTGGCATCTAGCTCCGCCCAGCGGTGGAATTCACTCGTCTTCCGGTAGGTGTCGCGCAGGCTTCGCGAGACGAAAACTGGGTGCTGAGCGCTGTTTCATTGGAAAGAACAGAAGATGCCAGGACCATCAGAATCAGAGGTCCCTAACGGTCACAGGAAGGCTTACCGCTCCGACACGAAGGCCCAGCGAGGGGAAGGACTTGCCCAAGGCCACAGGAGGATTTCAAAGCACCGCTGGATTAGAACCCAGCCTACAGCCTTCAGCTGCAAGGCCCCGGCTGGCTTCTGCAGCGGCCGGTCTGTGTGTCAGTCTGTTTAGCCTGGCCACGCCCTGTAAGGCAGCAGGCAGAGTGCCCACCTCAAGGCTCACTTCCTGAATTCTGACGGTTAGGGCCAAATGAGTAAAGACTAAGTGACTGAGTAAATGAAATACTTGATTTTTAACCAAAAATCCTATTTCTTTTCTTGATTATTTACTGTACAGGGTCAGGATTAACCTTTAGCTGATCCTGAAAATTACTTGTCTTCAAAGGGTAACCATTTGCTGCCAGAAAGAACTGTGATGGGGCTTACACTGTGCTTAATACATGTGTGTTGTGTGTGTACACACACACATAGGTGTGCCAATCCCTTGTGTAAACGACTTGGCAGTAAATGTAACAGACGCTGTTCACTGTCCCTGCCTTCATAAAGCTTACATCCTGGCATGACAGATTGCCATTAAACAATTCATCCCACAATTAATTAGATAATTAAGAGGATGGTAATTGCTCCATAGGCGAGGTAAAAGAGATGCTTCGTGATGAGCTTAGCAGAGTAGAAAGCACCTGTTAAAGTAGAAAGCCAGATGTTTTGAGAGCTGAAATTAAAGCCAACTTTTCCATAGCACCACCCAGCAATTATTTAAAGGAAAAAGAGCATTCTTGTGCATCTGAGAGAAGTAAAGAGCTGTCTTTTATTAACACGTATTCCTGGAAAATAAAACTGTCCAAGAGCAAATATATTCAAGAGTTACTCAAGGAGAAAGGCTTCTGAGCACTTCTGGTCTGCTGGAACGCCATCCTGTTTAAGAAGAAAAGCCAAAGGGTCAGAGAGGCTCACCAGTTCTTCCAAGGTCAGCCACAGCCACCAAGGTGGACCAGGATCCAAGCCTGCTGATGTGACAGCAGTACGTAGGTCCCTCCCTATACCACATCACAGCTTCTAATTGGAAAAGCTGATTAGCCAGCAGTTGAAACTGTAGACTCTAATGTCACCGAAGGTCCTCTCAATACCTTCTTCCCTCCATAGGGCCCTGGAGAAAACAAAACACACACAAAACTCTACTGCATTTTCCAGGAACCAAGAGGATCAAAATGAGAAGTTCCTGTAGGAAACAAACCATGCTTCTTGGGGGAATGGTTAATTACTGGAATTATTGCATTCCTTTCTCCTGAGATACATGGTTCTTGAACAAAAAGCTTTAATATTTCATTTATGCAAATGGAGAAACTATTCTCTATCCCTCAAACAAGATGCCAAGGTGAAGTCTCTCCACCTTTCTAGGATGTAAGCAAACATTTTCCTGCTCTGAGCAATTCCACCTCTTGGTGTAGCCAAGGCTCATCAAGAGTTTCTGACCCCAGTTTCAGGAGCAGAATCAGTTCATCAGAGAATCAGAGATGCCAGGGATTCATTTTTCATTTGAAGAGAAAATGGTTCATTCTTTCTGGGTTCATCCTCTATCCTGGAGAATACCTGGTCAGTCATGAGTGCCTGACCCCAGAAATGTCTTTTCTCATCCTAACCATCTCTTTGAAACGTTTTCCAACATCTACCATGAGTCAGACTCTGCGATACAGACGTGTTCCTGGCCAAGGCGCCTTGCTGGAAGCCTGCTATGGGAGTCTGCAGCTCCCCTACCCCATGGGGATGGGAACCTGAATGTCCACTGTGCTGCAGCTCCCCGGGCAGGCATTGGCCTTGCTGAGTGGGAGCAGGGAAGAAGGCACCAGGACAGACGTGTATGGACAGCCCTCCTGCCAAGGAGCTTGCCTTTCAGGTTTCCCAAGAGCCCTGTGCCCGTGGATTCTATAATGAGGAGGGATTTGTTTGTTGAAGGATCTTTTCAGCTTTATTGCTTAACTCAGAGGTGAGAAGGAGGTAGGGGCAAGATGAGAATTATTCTCCGTTGGCTTCTTGAACCGTCCAAATTTAAGCTTTGCCTGAAGCTGCCCTGCAACAGCAGTCAGGAGGGTTTTAAGGATAAAGATCCAGAAGTTATTCTCTCTCTCTAGACCTCAGTTGCCCTCCTGGTCAGTAAGAAGGGAGCGTACTAGCTCTGTGCTCAGTTTCCACATCTGTGTGATGTGCCCTATCTGCCTTTCCCCCCTTGATTACCAAAAGACCGATGTGGAGTAAGGTGAAATTAAGTAGGTCTGAGAACTCAAGGCCCTGTTTTGACAGTGGATGTGTTGGAACTATAAAGCAGGGGCAAATTCTCAGGAGTTTTCAAATTCCCTCAGTCTTGGCTCCGACCTGTTTGTGCAAACAAATAAAATTTATTTTAATTTTTTATTTTGAAAACCTTTTTTATTTGGCAAAGAATCGCAGAAGTTAGGAGAGAGCTCCTCTATGTGCTTCACCCTCTTTCCCCCAATGCTAGCATCTTACCTGCCACAGCACAGTGATCCAAACCATTACCACTGGTACAATATGATTACATAAAATATGCACTTAACTTTGGATTTTAGGCTTTTGGATTAAGAACATTCAACTGGTAACTTTCATGCAGATATTCAAAAGGCTCTTCCACAAGGAATGTACTCACTATGTATCATAAACATGTACTAATAAAATAAACATGTACTAATAAAAAGTTAAAAAATGTAAACAAAGGGGCTAAGGATTTAGCTCAGCGGCATAAGCGCCTGCCTTGCAAGCAGGCAGTTGTGAGTTCAATCCCTGGTACCGATAAAAAGGGAAAAAGACAAAAAAAAAAGAAAAGAAAACAAAAAATATAAACAAAATCTGAAACAATTCTGATCTTAAGCATTTTAGATAAGAGACAGCCTATATATGCATGTATATGTATGAATACACATATGTTAACTCATGTACACATATCTAGATTTCTGTATCTGTATACATATAAAATAAGTATAAATTCAAATGGTCTCTCCAACTCTATCGAACCACATAGGATTCATTCAAGTCTTTCCCTGTGCTCCAACCTGATTTCTCTTTTCTCTGATAATGAGAAACTTGGCTCCAGTTACCTACACTTTATTTACTGATTTGTTCAGCCCTAAATGCATGCAAAATAATAGCAGCATGTTAACCTGCACTCCCCTGAGAAACAGTTACCAACTAGGGTACGGTGTTTATACAGTTCTCTCCTGTCATTCACCGAACATCACTTTCTTTTTTTTTTTTTTTTTTTTTTTTTTTTTTTTTTTTTTTTGTCCTTTTCCTTTTTACCGGTACCACGGATTGAACTCACGACTGCCTGCTTGCAAAGCAGGCGCTTATGCCGCTGAGCTAAATCCCCAGCCCTCGAACATCACTTTCAATATTTAAAAGACAGCCTCGATACAAATCCCAGCCCTGGCACTCCTTGGCTGCTGGCATACGGCACTCACGTAGCCTCTTCTTCATCAGTTTACTTATTTATAAAATGAAAATAATCAACTGAGTCTTGCTGGCTGCATAACTCTGATGGGAGGAGATATAAAGGGGTTCAGAGCAGCCTCCTAGCACTCTCCCTGCCACACACATCACCACATCTCAGTCCCTGAGCTCTGAGTTTGTGCAGCCCTGACCCCTGAATCTTGTCCTGCTCTAAGGCACATACAAGGGATACAAGTGTCCACTCCTTTCTGCATGCAACTCGGTGGGTTTGAGCCAGCCAAGCTGGGAGGGCATCTGGTCTCTAGCTAAATAAACACATACATAAGAGTTTTTGGGCCCCTGGAGGCTCTCGCTGCCTGCCAGGGCATTTCAGGCCACCAGCTCAGCCACCTGGAGTCAAAGCCCATCGATGGCTTTGTCCTCAGGGCCTCTTCTTCCACAAGCAACAGGCCTTGGGGTGGGATGGGGAGAGCTCTCCAGCGCCCCGCGATGGGCTTTGGTTTCACCCTGAGTTTTGGCTGATAGGGACCTCTCTCTTCTCTGAGCCTCAGTTTTCCTATCTCTAAAATAGAGAAAATTGAGTTAAATTGGGGGAAATTGAGTTAAATTAAACTGAGTTAAATTAGGTTGGCATTCATCCACTGGTAGCTAGATCCTGCAGGCACATATGTGTTCCTCTTGGCCACGGAGTATTTTCAGTGCATTTTAAAAGCAGAAAGAATAGGGTTCCCATTCACCTCTTGTTACTCCCACTCAGTCTCCATTAGCATCTTGCGGGGTTGTTTGTTTGTTTGTTTGTTGGTGCTAGGAATCAAACTCCCCACTGAACTATATCCCTGGCAGTATCTTGTATTATTGTGCTTTTTTTTTTTTTCAGTTGATGGGCCAATGTTGGTACATTATTATTAACTAAACCCCATAATTTATTTATATTAGGGTTAATTCTTTTTAAGTACTGGGATACAACCCAAGCCCTGAAGTATGCTGGGCTCCCATTCTACTCTGAGCTGCATCCCGGCCCCTGGGGTTCATTCTTTGTGTTGCAGAGAGCTGTAGATTGTGATAGGCACACAACGCCATGCACTGGCCATTATGTTCCATACAGAAGTTTAACCACTGGTCCTTTTACTCATTAGTAGTTTTGCCTTTCCCAGACTCTTACATATGGAGTCAGACTGCATAGTCTTTTCAGATTGGCTTCTTTCACTATGCAATGTGTATTTAAGTTTCAACTATATCTTACTGTGGCTGGACAGTTTACTTCTTTTTGTTGTTGAACAATGTTTCATTGTATGGGGGTGCAACAGTTTATCTGCTCCCCATTAAGATGTTTGTTTCTGAGAGAGGATTTCACTATGTTGCTCAGATTGTCCTGAAATTCGCTATGTAGCCCAGGGTGACCTTGAACTCATAATCCTCCTTTGCCTCCTAAGTGCTGGAATTATAGGCATGTACCTCCGTACCTAGACACTACAGAGATTTTTAAGCTATTTGCCAGCATTCAGAAGTGGCAAATATTACATTGAAAAACAGGTTTTGGGCTTCAGAAAAATGGAAGATTGGGGGCCACTGGGTCTGACTCCCCAAATGGCAACAGTGGTGGAGCTTGAATAGCAGCAGGCTTCTTTGAATGGGGCATGGGAATCTTGGTCACTGCAGAGTTCTCCTGGCCTCCTGTGTGACCTCTCA